TGGCAGTCACGGGGAACCACGTGGCATTCTTGAGGGGGTCATTTGGACCCCTGGGCTCACTTTGTAGCCTCGAACTCGGCTTAGTCCTCCTGCCTCAGCTTTGCCAGGCGCTGGGGTCCCAGGCGTGCGCCCGCCACACCCAACCTGGGAACGTGGTTGTAGGTCGGGAAACCGAGCTGGTGGTGCGGACTTGATGTGGTTCCCGGTGAGGGCCCTCTGCACACGGCCTCCTTTATGCTCCCTACCTGCAGGGGACGACGATTTAAATGATAAAAACACTCAGTCACTAGTCACTCAGCCACGGGGACTGTGCGTCCCTGGCCGGCCTGGGCAACGTAGCGGGGCTCTGTCAGGAGAAAAATGCCTCCCCAGCAAAGGTCTCAGAGAGAAATTTCCTGTTGGCCTTCTCGCTGTGCCCACACCTTTTAAGGCAGGTTCTGTGTAGCCCAGGCTGACCTGGAACTCAGCATGGGCCACCACGTCCACCTGGCTTTTACTGGGTTAGAAGAGGAGCCTAAGCCTGGCATGGTCTGCACACCTGTCATCCCAGCACTGCTGAGGCAGGAGGAGGGAAAGTTGCTGAGGCACAGGGCTGACTGGTGTCTGAAGACTCAAACGGAAGAAGGTGTGGCTGCCTCGGGAAAAGATTCGGAGACTCTCATGACACGATGGAGTGGAGTTGGGTGCGTCTGTTCCGCGGTATCCCGAGAGTGGTGGCCTCGAGTCTGAACGTGTTCCTGGCAGTCCAGAGGGCCTTTGCTGCTCACCATTTTCTGCCTGGCTCAGTGGGTTTGGGGGCTGTTTGGGGTCCAGCTGGGTTGTCTTGTGCGGGCAAGGGCTCTGGTTCCTGCCCCATGGCAGGGTGTTTGTCAGAATCCACAGTGTCCCTGATGAGGAAACCGAGGCTCACAGGAGTGCCTAGGCCACAGGACAGAGCCAGAGAGGGGACCCACGCTGCTCTGGTCCACACTGCTCTGCCCCTGTCTGATGGACTGTCGGAAGCAGGACAGTGCTTAGGAGCCAGGTCAGAGCCCTCCACCCTTGCATGGGCTTGTCCTCATATCACCCACCTCTGGCCAGTAGGTCAGGGCCTTCACTACTACTAGCAATAGAATGGTTTTGACCATGTAGCTAGCTCTCAGGACCGATGTCCACATGGTGACCACACCCAGCTGTACCCACAGTGGCTAGCCCAGCCCTCACTAAGCCAAGCGGCTGCACAGGGCCTCATAAGCCAGACAGTAGTGTATCCCAAGCTCTGCCCTCCTGCACTTTCCTATTCACTCACTACCGGAAGCCTCTGAAGACCCCTGTAAACATGCAGCCTCATTCCTGCCACAGGGCCTTGTCATGCTCTGAGCTGGCTGTCGGGGATCCAGGAGGGCCAGAAAGGAGGGACTTTACACAGAGAGAAGGCTTGAAGGTGGCTAATATCCTAGTGGTCCTGGGCACAGAGAGCTGGGGATGTGGGGAGGCATAGATGATCCAGACGAAGTCACTAGGCAGTCTGCAAATCTGAGGCCCAGCATGCTCTAGGCCTTGGCCAGGGATGTTTTGGGGTGGGAGTATTTTGGCCATGGTTGCTTTTTGACATGGACTCATTGTATAGCCAAGTTGGCCTTAAATGGGTGACCCCATGCCTCAGCCTCCCAAGTGTTTGGGTCACAGGTGTACCCCACCACACCTGACAGGAAGAGGGGTACTCCTGGTACCCCAGCAGTAAGCCTCCATCCCCCCAAGGCCAGACTCCTTAGCTTGTGCATTTGCCTTTGGGGCTGACTGGCCATCACACCATTAAGGTTCTGGGCCCTTAGAGTTGAGTCAGTCTCAGCACAATGCCTCCCCAAGGCACCTGTGTGTCCTTTCCTCTGGTGGGATCCAGTGTGGGGTTCTGCACAGATTTCTGAGTGAGGGGACAGTGAAGGAACTCACGTGCAGGGTTCACTAGGCTGAGACACCAGGGGTGATCAGAGACACTCCACACAGCACGTGGTACTGTCGACCATCACAAGGAACACAAACAGGCACGGCTCTAAAACAGCGATGCTGAGTGACACTAGCCAGACAGAGGCCACATGGTGTACAGTGTGTTAGCAGGAAATGTCTCCAGGGACAATGCCAGAGAGGGAGAGTAGATACGGGGCAGGGAACAGAAGTGACTGCTGGTATACACGGGGTCCTCTGGAGGAGGCAATGGTAGTCTTTGTGCAACATTGTAATAGTTAAAAAGTATATAGGTGGTGGCACACACAAGCCTTTAATCCCAGCACTCAGGAGGCAGAGGCAAGAGGGTCTCTGTGAGTGCGAGACCAGCCTGGTCTACCAGAGCGAGTTCCAGGATAGGCTCCAAAGCCACAGGGAAATCCTGTCTCGAAAAAAAAAATATATATATACATACATACATACATACATACATATATATATATTTTCAAGTCTGGTGGTGGTGGTAGGTCAGGCTGGTCAACAGAGTAAGTCTCAGGGACAGCCAGAGCCACACAGAAACCCTGTCTCAAAACTAAAAGAAAAAAATTTCAGAAGGCTCAGGAGAGATTCAGCAGTACTGCCTCTGCCTAGACTCTCCCAGTGAAGGGGCTGGGGGCGTGGCTCAGGGGTGGAGCTCCTGCCTGGAATAACCCAGTGAGGGGCTGGGGGCGTGGCTCAGGGGTGGAGTCCCTGCCTAGAATCCCCCAGTGAGGGGCTGGGGGTGTGGCTCAGGGGTGGAGCCCCTCCCTAGAATCCCTTAGTGAGGGGCTGGGGGCGTGGCTCAGGGGTGGAGCCCCTCCCTAGAATCCCCAGAGAGGGGCTGGGGCGTGGCTCAGGGGTGGAGCCTCTGCATAGGTCCTATGGCAGAGGTTACAGATTCTAGTGTAAGAGGAAAGGCTGCCGGAGGGACATGTGTGCCCCCCTTGCTATCCCATTGGCTGCCAAGGGTCAGAGGATTGTGTTGTCCTGCCAACCTGGGCTACATAGAGAGAACCTGTCTTCCCTGCAGCCTGCTGAGGGATGCCCAAGAAGTTCCAGGGCGAGAACAGCAAGTCGGCAGCTGCCCGAGCACGGAGGGCTGAAGCCAAGGCGGCAGCTGATGCCAAGAAACAGAAGGAGCTGGAAGATGCTTACTGGAAGGATGAGGACAAACACGTGATGCGGAAGGAGCAGCGCAAGGTGGGTGGGGCAGCGTCCTGGGGCCAAGTCTAGGTAGCCATGGAGGGACACAGATGCAGTGGCTAGCTGAAGAGGACCTGTGTTCGTCCCCAGCCTAGTTGTGTCCCCTTTCCTGTCAGAGGTCTACCTTTGAACCCCAGGTGCCAACTCGGTTCAGTGCGATGCTGCAGGTCCCCCCACTGGGTAGCAACAGAGACCCGGGCCCCTCAGCCGGCTTACACAGCTGGGTTGGTGGAATGCCCAGTACCAGCTTCTTTTGGGGCGTGTGGACCAGGTCTCCGTGATCCTGGCTGGCCTGGAACGCTGCTGCGCTCAGCCACTCCTGCCTCGGCTATCTCTTCAGCTCTGGGTATACCCACGATCACCAGTTTTTTACGTGTCTCAATACTGATGACCACTTGATCCTGGGCTCTTGGAACTTTCTGGAAACTGTTCCTTCTTTTGGGGGTGGGGTCTATGGGCACAGAGCTGGGCCCAGGCCCTCTGCCCTGGGGACAGAAGAGGTGGGGTCTTCAGAACCTGTGGAGCAATCCCAGAGGGCGACTGGTGTGCAAAGGCATTGTGGCAGGGCCTAGCTGAGGGTATGGGAGCCTCAGGACGATGCTGGCTCTGACTTAGGGAGAAACTGAGGCCGACTTCAGTACTTGCCAACCCACACAGGGTTTCCTGCCCAGCATTTGGGGCAATGCTCACGGAGTAGTGCCCTTGTGAAACACTTTAGCTGCCCAGGTCCAACTGCACAGGGTGCCCTGGGGGGTCGAGAGGAAGGAAGGGATCAGCACCCACTTGGGTGCTGCCCTCAGGTGGCTTATTGATGTGGCCTCCCGTGGTGACCCTGTTGCTGTCATAGGAGGAGAAGGAGAAGCGACGCCTGGAGCAGTTGGAGCGAAAGAAGGAGACACAGCGCCTGCTGGAGGAGGAGGACTCACGGCTCAAGGGCGGCAAGGCCCCTCGTGTGGCACCTGCCAAGGTCACCCGCGCGCAGATTGAGGACTCCCTGCGCAGAGAGCAGCGTGTGGAATCAGGTGCGTGTGGAATGGGCACAGGGCCGAGGGTGGCGCACCCCCAAGGACTTGGCCCCCCGCTGGGTGCTCACATCCCGCCCCTGTCCTCTGCAGTGGAGAAGGCCAAGAGCCACCTGGAGCTACCGCTGGAGGAGAACCTGAACCGGCGCCTGCAGGAAGAGGGCAGCCTGGAAGCTCGCACAGTAGAGGATGCCATAGCAGTGCTCAGGTGGGCGGGGCCTGAGGCAGGAGGCATGGTTGGGGCGGAGCCTTGCAGGCATGGGTGGGGGCCTAGCCTTCGGCTCTGGGCACTGACTCCAGACCCCATAGTGTGGCAGAGGATGCAGACCGGCACCCTGAGCGCCGCATGCGTGCAGCCTTCACCGCATTCGAGGAGGTACAACTGCCGCGGCTGAAGCAGGAGAACCCCAACATGCGGCTGTCGCAGCTGAAGCAGCTGCTGAAGAAGGAGTGGTTGCGCTCCCCCGACAACCCTATGAACCAGCGTGTGTTGCCCTTCAATACACCCAAGTGATGGAACAAAGCCCGAGTACAGCTTGTCCATCTCCAGCTCGTCCAAGTCCAGGCATCCTTCTGCAGTCAGGCCTGCCTGGGGATCCAAAGAGTTGTGAGCCTGGGGCTCTCCTGGCTGCACCATCAGTCACCCTCGAAAATCCAGAGGGTCTTTGCTCTGAGCGACACCCAGCCCCTGTGTGCCCTATGGAGCCCGGCTAAACACCCGCCCAATAAAGGCTCTGGAGAGGCTGCCTGAGGCCCATGTGCACATGTGTGGTGGGGACCGCTGGTGAAGGGAGGGGCTGTGTGATGACCAGGTCTGAACCGCTGGTGCAGACCTGCAAGTCCCCCAGGACAGCAGCAAGGTGATTGGAGAGGTGGCTGAGCCTTGAAGCCACACAGCAGCATGGGGAGCTGCAGGCTGTATCCACCCAGAGCCTGAGGTATGAGGCAGGTTTCTCCCAGCTGACAGGCAGGGAACATGAGGGCGCTGGAGCAGCAGAGGCTGCAGGTGGATTTGAACCCAGAACTTCTTCCTCTAGCTGCATCAAGCCTGTGGAGGCAGTGCAAACTGCGTGCCAGTGTGTGTGGAAGGCTGGCATGTCCCTCTGAAAATGGCTGGATAGGAAGTGTGTTGAGCAGACACGGTCCGTCAGCAGGCTTACTGAAGAATGTGAGCTCCCAGGCCCATCCTAGGGAAATACAGGCACTGTGACACCCACATAGACACTTGCTCTTTTCCCTGCGCAGTTGTTTTCTTGCCTTCTCCCTACACAGCGCTGTGTCGCCTGCCCTCAAGACCTGTCAGTTCCCCAGGGCTCTGGTGAAGGGTGTTGGTCTCATGAGGTGAGGCTTTCTGCACCCCATCAAGAGAGAAGGAGCCATTGACACAAGGTCCCGCCTATCGTTAAAGGGAGAGGGCGTCGATGAGTGGGTACGGCTGGGAAATCGTCTGGGGCAGGAAGCAGTGTAAAAGCCCATGCAGTAAGACGGGTCAGGGGCGGGATTGGCTGCAGCCCGGGCATGGGGCTGCCCGCCTGCCATCCCAGCACTTGCGGCAGCGTTCACGATTGTCTTGACTGTGATGCAGTGGCCAGCTTGGGCTACACAATTCTAAATGGGTTGTGGTAGGGAGTACCAAACAATGGCTGAACAAGGCCTTAGGATGGGGTTCACCAAGGGGCAGCCCTGAGAACAGCACTGGAGGGGGTGTGGCAGCCCAGCATTCACGAAGAACCGTGTCTCCTGCACCGTGTCTCTCACAGTGATAGAGCTAGAGGGACCGCCAGTGCCTCAACTATAAAACTGGCCTCGGTAGCTGTCCATAAAAAGGTGTTTGCGTCCACCTGGCTGCATCTAAGATTTTACGCTAGGTTATCCTGGCTGTGCTGTTGGGAGGCTGGAGCAGGAGGATTTCCAGGAGTTCAAGGCCAACCTTGGCTACCGGGACCTCTACCAACCCCCAAAAGAATCAGGACTCGAGAGTTGGTTTAGTAGGTAAGAGCACTTATTGTCCTTCCTGAGGACCAGAGTTCGATCCCAGCACCCACATGACTGCTCACAACGTAACTCCAGTGCCAGGGGCCCGGATGACCTGAGCTCTCCGAAGGCCCAGATACACACGTGGTTCACACACGGACTACGTACAGCCAAATGTGTATCCAAACAAAACATACACAGAAACGTTGAAAACTAAAACTCTGATTCTCCCTCCACGTCCCTCCTGCTGGGGCTTAGATGGCGCCCTGCACTGCCACACCCTGCTTTCAGAGCCTCCCTGGACCTAGAGACACTAGGGAGGGGGAGGGCGTCGCCCTTAGGACTCTGCAGGCGACAGAGGAAGAAGCCAGCTCGGCGGGCGAGGCCCTGCACAGGGGACGCAAGGGACCAGAGCCATGTGTGCTGGCCCTCACCAGTCTGAGGCAGGAGCATTACTGTAAGTTCTAAGCCGGCTGAGCCAAATACAGAAATACTGCGTCAAAATAAGAAACGATGCAGACAGGGAGGGCTGAGGCGACAGCCTTTGTTGTGAAGGACAGCCGCATCTCCGGAATCCCGCCGCGACTGCGCACTAGTCGCGGGGAATCCCCCGCTCCGGGAGGGGCGAGAGGGAAATTCCGAGAAGTTGCCAAGGAGACAAAACCGCCTTATCACGCGCCGCGCATGCGCCGAGTATTTGCCCCTCACCTGGGCTTGGGGGGGCGCGTGCCCTGCGCGCATGCGCCAGCCCTGGCTGCGCGTCCTCGGGGACTCGGGGAATCCTCCACCGCCCCAGCGCCACGCGGGCCGGGAAAACCGGCTCGAACCAGAGTGGAGCTCCCGCCAGGGCGGCGGGGCCGGGCTGCCCGCCAGCGGTGTCTTCCCCGCGTGCCTGCCCTCGCGGTCGCCATGGCAACCACGCGGGGCTGCAGAGCGGGGGCGCCGGGGAAGCCGGGCCGGTGTGCGCATGTGCCGCCGGAGCAGGGGTTCCCCTCGGCGGGGACGCGGCCGGGGCGGCGGGGCCAAGGGACCCGCGGGGCTGCAGCTGCAGCGGAGCCGGGCGTCCCGGGAATTACCGCGCTCGCCGCACTGCGGCGTGGCGCACACCGGTCAGCCCGCACTGCATGGAGGCCGAGAAGTTGGGAGTTCGAGGCCAGCGTGGTCTCCCTGGGGCCTGGTCTCAAATTAAAAATAGGTTACAAGGCACAGCGCCTGCAGCCGTAATTTGGCTCATTTTCCCACCCCAGTCTCCTTTCCCCATCTTCCCCCCCCCCCCCCCGCGGCCTTTGGCTCCTCTTTCTCCTGGGGGAGGAGGACGGGGGCCCCCGGCTGCGCCCCTGGTGTCCCCCAGGACCGGGACCCCGGCTGCGCCGGTCCCCACGCGTCACGCTGGTGCATCTGCGCGTGGCCGTGCGCTGGGGACAGTCCCCTGTCGTAGGCCGCCTCGCGGCTGTGCCTTTGTCATCAGCAAAGCTTCCTTCCTCCCGTCTCTCCTTTGTGGGGCAAGTGTGTGACCGACGAGGCTGTGGGGACTGTCTTCGGACCTCGGACGGGGTTCTCAGCGGCGGGGCCACCCCACTGAGTTACTCAAGTTTTGGGGACGCCCTG